CACCATGAATATTACGCTGAATTTCCAAAATTGTACTCTAACATTGTGGGCTGGAAACAGATGTTCCGTAATGGAATCTTTAAATATTTGCCTCTGGAAAAAAATGAATTATTCTCTTCAACAGATTAAAAACACAATACAAATCATGTTATTTCACTTAGACATTCAACTCTTCCACCTGGAAATTACACTCAGATCAGGTTAAACATCCTACAAATAAATGTAGGACTAGACAGAAGATGCTGTCAGGAGAACTTGGCTTCTTCAACCTCAAGATCATGTTCCAGAAGGTGTTGAATGACAGGAACATCCTGAGAATCTGCATCTCAGATACAGATAACTTTAAATTAGGACTGGAAGAAGTCTGTAGGTCAGTATAAAACAGTGATGACCTTGGCAATATTCTGCTTGTTCCCGTTTTTTTGAGGGCCCTTTATGTTACATGTCATATGGAACACATCAGTTGTTGGTTTTGTTTTTTTTCTCTTAATGTGTATTTTAATGTATTACTTAAAAATGGGAAACACAAGTATCCCAAAGCTTTTTAACAACAAAAAAAAAGTTATCTAGATTATGTCCACTGGCTGAGTATCATTATACAATCTTTCCATATTCTTTCCACTTTTTCTCTCTTAAGCTATAATGGAGTAGCAGTACTCAATGCTCTAATTCCACAAAGACAGATGAAAGCTGTTCTCAGGGTGGGTGATCAGACCTTCTAATCTTACCTCAGACCTCCAATTTTCCTTATATACTCCACCTTTCTGTAAGCTTTTAGAGCCCTACACTCTTAAGTTTTATAAATACCTGATATAAATAAAGTTTCACACTGGCAAGTGGGATCTTTATAGTTCCTGAAGTGGAGAAGACTTCTAAGCTATCCCTACCATCAGGTTAGGGTGGTTCCTAACACCGACAAACTCATACTGCTCATGAAAGTTTGAGAAGGGTATCAAATGACATTCTGTACTCAACTATTTTTTTGTTATCACTGGTGTGACGGTTATTCATGTCTCTGGCCAGAATACAACATTCCCTGCATGGAGTAGAATGCCTGCAGAGGGTTAGTGCAGTCCTTCCAGATTAAAAGGAAAAAGTCAAACAAGAATTGCCCTGTGAGAAACCATAAGGTCTTGGTAGCAGGAGACAACAGCAATGCTTTCCTGCACTACACAGATAAAATTGAATTCAGATCAGTTCAACTGAAGGAATCTTTTGATCTTGGCAATCTTCTAACATTCTCATCTCCACTTTATAAACCATGTGTTTCTTACTAACGTGCTTTCAATGCCTGTTCCTTGTGAGGACCAACCCTACTCTCAGCACTTCCTGAGTGTCCAGAAATGGAGAGAAAGGCTTAGAGAGGATGACACTGTCATGGTTTAACCCCAGCCGGCAAGTAAGCACCATGCAGCTGCTCCCTAACTCCCTCCCTCCCCCCAGCAGGATGGGGGAGAGAATTGTTACACTAAAGGTGAGAAAACTCATGGATTGAAGTAAAAGTTTGATAGGTAAAGCAAAAGCCATGCACAAAACCAAAGCTAAACAAGGAATTAATTTGCTGCTTCCCATTGGCAGACATTCAGCCATTACCAAGACAGCGGGGCTCCATCATGCGTAACGGTTACCTGGAAAAACAAACACCATCACTCTGAACGTCTCCACTTCCTTCTTCTTCCCCCAGCTTTATGTGTTGAGCATGACACCATATGGTCTGGGATATTCTTTGGGTCAGTTGGGGTCAGATGCCCCAGCTCTGTCCCCTCCCAACTTCTTGTGCACTCCAAGCCTCCACACTGCTGGGGAGGTGTGAGAAGAATAGGCCTTGACTCTGTGTAAGCACTGCTCAGAAGTAACTAAAACATCCATTAATTATCAACACTGTTTCCAGCACAAATCTAAAGCATAGCCCCATACCAGTGACTATGAAGAAAATTAACTCTGTCCTAGCCAAAACCAGCATAGGCATGCACCAGGTAACAGCAACTAGGTCTAAGACTGAAATTGAACCATAACAACCCCCAACATAGACAGAGGAAACAGACTGGTAGGAGCAAGTGAAAAATGGTACAGATCTGGAGCTGCATGAAGAAAGGTGGACAGAATTCCAATTTGCTAGGAGCATGTGACTATTTGCTCTTTCTTTTACTCTTTTTTGTAAGAGTTTGATGCTTATGATGAACAGAGCAACTGGGACCCAAGTCTGATTCTACACAGGATACCACAGCTCCGGAAGTCCAGGCTTTTTGGTCTGCCAATGGTTAAACAATAAGACGAACAAGTGCCATCTACTTGCTCCCAGTTTGTCCCAGAGATTATCATGGCCAAATTAATAAGAGTAATTGATGACCTGGGTTTACACAATGTGCTAAATCTTATGTGATACGGCTGCAGGCATAAGCTTTATACTTGTCCTTTTGTATCCAACTTGTCCTTGATTTCAAAGGCAAGTTTCAAGCTCCACATGAACTCTATAGAAGCTATTCACATTTTCATGATGTACCAATGACACATTTTGACTGCATGATCTGACTACCAACGATCTGATGTAATTTATATTCACTGCTAAACATGATGCATTATACTAACACAAAAAAACAACTAACAATCAATTTCTCCTTGCAGTGTGCATGTCTGAAGCCTGCAGAAACCAGTATCTGTTACTTTGTCTTCTACCTAAGAAAACCGCTGATCTCCCCAGCTTTTGAAACATCTGCAGAGATTTTTGTATATATTTTTAGTTGGTTTATGCTCTACAGCAACAAGCCATTTTAACTGCCTGCTGGGCTGTGAAAAAGAGAAGGATGTGAATCAGCTCTTTCTACTCTCATCAGTAATTTGTACACATCTTGTTTTCACAGCCTTTTGTTGATAACAGAAGCTGAGATCTAACACATACGTCTTTCAGCTTGAGCTAACCATTATTTCCCCAAATACAAATTGGTCACAGACCTCTGTGATCTGGCTGCCCTTGATCTCTATTTTTGATCCAGGAAATGTCTGAATAACTCAAAGTTATAAAGTTGTAAAGGAATTCATCACAGGTTTCATACAAAGCTTTCTTGTCATCCATTATCTTTATAGCTTCAGGATTAGTAAATAAACCCATCAGCATTCTCAAAATGCCAAGGGCTACAAAACTGGGGGAAACCACCCAAAAGGAAGTTGAATGATACACAACTAATTCCTTACAAAACACAAATAACTCAACAATTGGTTCAAGCACAGCACTTTGCAAATTTTATAAGAAGCAGAGAGGATGTTGTGAAACACAATCACAGATAAAAGGCTTAGACAAGATGTATTTGCAGACCCCTCTATTCCAAAATTCTTTCTTTCCTACACTGAAATAGAGGGTGTTAAGTCAAAACTAACCACTGGAGACAAGAACCATAAACCCTATAAAAAATTAAAACAATAATGTAGAAATAGTTGAAAGCATTGCTTAAAATAGCAAATGTTGGTTTGTTGGTTGTTTCTTTTCTGTGGCTGCAAGATCTCCAAGAAAATGTAGCAGACACTAAAAGAGAAGAGATATTTTAATATCTTGAAATCATTCTGGAAAATATTGAACTCTGTAAGAGGCAGAGTAAGAAGAAAAGGCAGTGAACAGCATAAAAATTGCTGGAGCCATTATGGGAAGTACAGCCACCATAGGTGGTCAGGAGTACAGAGCTCTACACCTGTATGTTGAATAATCATCAGTCATAGAATCAAAGAATGGTTAGGGTTGGAAGGGACCTTAAAGATCCTCCAGCTCCAACCCCCCTTCCAACACTTTCCACTAAACAAGGTTGCTCAAAGCCCCATCTAACCTTGCCTCGAACACTTCCAGGTATGGGGCAGCCACAACTTCTCTGGGCAACCTGTTCCAATGTCTTAGCACCTGCCCTGAGTTCAGCAGTAGCAGTCATTTTTTCTCCTTCTTGGTGCAGTGCTGTGTTTTGACTTTCGGCCTGGGAACAGAGCTGATAACACTGATGTTTTGGTCTGGCCAAGGACTTTGTGAGCCTCATGCTCTGCCAGGGAGAAGGGGAAGCCGGGAGGAAGCAGAGACAGAACACCGGACCCAAACTAGCCAAAGAGGCATTCCATACCACAGCACATCATGCCCACTATACAAACTGAGGGCAGTTACCCGGAAAGGGGAGAGGACTGCAGGGTTGGACGAGGTATCGGTCGGTGCTTGGTTGGGTTGGGGTGGTGAGTTATTGGTTGGCTGGTGGTGAGATGTTGTATTCTCTTCCCTTGTTATTTCCTTTATCATTGTTATTATTGGTGGTAGCAGTAGTGATTTGTGTTATACCTTAGTTACTAAACTGTTCTTATCTCAGCCCGTGGGAGTTGCATTCTTTTCGGTTCTCCTCTCCGTCCCTCTGGGAGTAGGGGGAGGGCAAGAAGGGGGGAGCAAGTGAACAAGCTGCTTGACTGGTTTTAAACCATGACACACCCTATAATGAAGAACTTCTTCCTAATAGCTAATCTAAATGTACCTTCTATCAGCTTAAAGCCATCCCCCCTTGTCCTGTACTTGTCCCCCTTAGCCTTGTAAAAAGTCCCTCTCCAGCTCTCTCGAAGGCCTCTTTAGGCATCAGTCAAACCTCAATGCTTAAGTTCAGCTGTTTCCTAGCTGTGCTGCAGCTGTCTAACCATGAAGCCGGGCTCAGGTCTGCAGTCAGTGAGTTAAAGACACAGAGCACAATGACAACACCACCGTGGTGCCCAGCATGGGAGTGCCCAGGCCACTGGGCAGTGCTATTGCACTGGTGCCCTGGAGGAACTGAAGGGAAACTATGTTGGGAAGCTCAACAAACAGAAAACATGGATGTAGGGAACACCGCCATCCGCCGGCCTCTGAGCCGGCCCTAGGCCCAGGCCCGAGGCAGGGCCCCACAGCACCACGTGCCACCGCCTGCTGCTGCTGACATCGAAGCCTCCCACTTGTCCCCCTCCTCTACCCTCCAATCGCCCTTGCCCACTGCCCGGCCACCCCGACTCACGCAGATGGAGATGCGCAGCACCCCACGCTGGTAGTCCCTGTACAGCTCCGCCGCCTCCCTGCTGCACTCGATGCAGCGGTAGGCGCCAAGGGCCGCCATGGTGGGCGAGTGCACGCCCCGGCCTGTCAGCGCTTCAAACCGCCTCACTTCCGCGTTTGGGGCGGAGCCGGGCCGGTTCCACACCGCCGGGCATTCTGGGAACTGTGGTTTTCTGCTGCCGCCGGCGGCCAGGCCTCGCCCGTGTGGGACTCCATGTCCCAGGGGGTAGCGCTGCGGTGCCCGCCTACCTGATGGCGGGCCCGTGGGAGAGAGCCCGCTGTCCCCGGGCTAGGCGGAAGAGGTGCGCATGCGCCCTGGGAAGATGGCACCTGCCGACGGCTCCGGGGCTGTGAGGTTGCTGTGGGTGTCGCTGGCCATGCTGGCCGTGGCCCGGACTGCGCTGGCCTTGTCCCTACTAAACCAGGAGCTGCACCGGCAGCGCCAGGGCCTGGCGGGAGGCTGCACCTCGGCGGGAGAGTGGACAGAGCAGTACTCGGCCGAGTGCGGTGAGTCGGGGGCGTTGCCGTGATGACCGCCCTCAGCCCCGGGGCGGGGTGAGGCGGCCGTGAGCCCAGCGGCATAGCGGAGCCTTGAGGGCGGGGGGTGGCGGTTCCCCTCTCCTCTCGCCTACCCGGCCTCGCCACTCTGGAGGGTGGCGGGAGAAGAAGAAAGCGTGGCCGCGCCTCCCCTCATCCCACCCCACCCTGAAGCGCTGAGGGGACGCCGGCGCGACGCGGTGCGGGGTCCCGGCCGCCGGCGGGAGGGCGGGCAGCCCAGCTGTATGCGTTACTGCTGTTCGCGTTACTGCTGTTCAGCTGACTCATACCGAGCGAATCTTCCGTGTGAGCTGCGGCCCCGAGTAGTGTTGTGCCGTGCGGAGCGGAGATGAGATCCCTGCTGTGGGGCTGAGCAGGGGAAAAGCGCTCACTCCTGTAAAGGGAAAGCCGTGGGGCTTGTTGTATCTGTCACATAGCCTCGAGGATTCCTGTTGTCCCACTCCCCAACCTGCCGAGTCTACTAGCTGCTGTGCTCTGCGTGCTTTTTAAACTCGGCACTCAGTAATACATAGACATGCCAACTCTATGTGCTCGTATTATTGAGTTGAAGATGACGTAATTCGTTTTCAACTAGAGTTATATCTGGTCAACTGAATGCTTTGCTTTACGAGCACCCGAAGTTCAGTTAGCACATCTTCTGGTCTTAGAATCATAGAACGGTTAAAGTTAGAAGCTAATTGATAGCTTGTAATACAGGTACAGCTGAAACTTTTTTTTATGTGTTTAAATATCTGTTGCATCAGGGTCATGTGACTTAAGTAATCAGTTATGATCTTTGATCATGACCATAACGTGAATGTGCTATTAAAAATAGCAGTCTGAACCACAATGTGCATGTAATACAGATGAAAAAGTTTTCATCGATTCAATGCAATATAGGCACTCACTGTTTATATGAGAATAACTAGTGATGTGTCATAACTGCTTAGCTGTCTGCAGGTGTTTTTTTCCTCTTACTTCATACATTCTGTGCTCGTAACAATGATTGCTGTGGTCCCTAAGGACACTATGCAGTTAGTGTAATCCACTGAAAATCACAGGTTTTCTAGAAATACCTTGTTAGGAGTTTCCTACGTTTGCCTTTTTTTTTTTCCGTCACGGTATGTAAACACTAAATAGGATTGAGAAAGTCATCTCAGGTGACCATTGCTCCAAGTCATTCAAGTTTAAGCATAAAATCAAAAAGACTTTCACCCAGTGTTGAAATAACAGCTGTATACCACGCAAGTTAATAAATGGCAAAGCATTTCATTGCATTTCTTCTGGTACTAGAACATGAATGACTGACTCAGGATATTCCTTTCCAGGTGTATTTGGAAGATTAGATTTTGATTTAATGGTGTATTTTGTTTTAAAGAGACCAGTGTAACTGAGATTGATACAAGGGATTCTGCTTAAATCATGAGGTACCTCAGGCACTTTGCATACACTGATAATAAGATAGCCCTTAGTTACAGAACAGCGTACTGAAATTGCTGTATATCAGTTTGCTCCTTTCTGTTTATGTCCTGTGGCTAAATAACTTGCCAGTTAAAAGATTCCCTTAAGTTTTCAGTCTTTGTTTTAGTAGAAGTTCCCCAGAAGCTGAGAATCAATTAGTTCCTCTTGTAGCCTACAACAGGGTCCAGGATGGTTTCTTTGACTGATGTTTCTATCTTTACAATGAGGCAGTGTGGTATGGGTTTGACTGTATCTAACTTGCAAACAAAGGCAGATCCATCTTCCCTCTGAGTAAAGCAGTCTGTTGCCCCAAGAATTGCAAGGTTTGAAGGGTCCTTTTTCCCCCATGTAACTTGTAACAGGCTGTTCTTACTCCCTACCACCTTATTAAAAAATTCCTTCACTAAATTCTTGCTGTTATGTAGAAAATTATTCTGAAGGTTGTCTGTGCCTGCAGCTCTTTGTTTTGTTCAGCAAAAAATGTTCAGTGAGTCCACAGCAATGGCTCTTGACTGTCACTGACTTAGGAGCACCAACACAGAACAAGTAATGTGTTAATAATGCTGTAGCACAGGAGGGTTTGGCCAACATGAAGAACAAAAGGCAGTGTTGAAGTTGAAACCTCTTCACGGCAGTGCTTTTGCTGGAAAACTGGGGGGGTCAGCTGCTGGACTTTCTGACTTTAAACTGTTCTGCTTTTCACGACTCTGGCTTCTCTTGTAAACTACTCCCACCAGTTATCTTTTGTGGCTCAACTTAGTTCCAAGTTTCTATTTAAAGGGCATGATTTTAGATGCTGTTTTGACTTTTCTTTACAAGATCTGTTTCTTTCTCTTTTAGCACTGTACTTGTGAGAAATGGGGAGTTAGCTAATTGCAACCCTTATGTAATCAAAATATAAGTATAGCACTGCCTGTAAAAGTGAATTAGAAACACACACTGCCCCCAGCCTTTCCAATTTAGCATAAGATTATACTTACAAACATTAGGGCAGATAAAATTTGGTATTTACAGCATGGAATCAAAGAGATAATACTGTTTATTTGATTTTTCTTGTTTATTTTTGAAGTATTTTAAGTAAATAGAGGCTTTAAGATCTGAACATTTAAAAGCTAACAATTCTGTTGGGATAGCAGTTAAAGCACCCTGTAGGTGAAGTAGTAACTTCTATAGTCTGTCAGTCTGGGCGGTTCTGTTGATTATTTTTGTTTCTTATTTGTTTCATTTGTTAAACTTTGCTATGCCAACAAGCTGCATTTGACTTATCATAGATTTGAATCAATATTATACTTTTTGTAATGGCCTTCTTAGTAATATACCCATGAGAACCTTTGTAGATGTTCAGTTAATTATGGTTTACTATTCTGTCTGCTTTATACAGTCTTTATACCTGTTTCCTGGACTCCAGTAGCAGCTCCTCTTTCCCTACCTCTGTATGGTCAATTCTGTTTATTTTCCTCTCTGGGATTAGAATGTTAATTTTGTCTTTAATTTCTTGGGCCAGAGAATGTAATCATAATGCCAAATGGGGACATGTCTACACCAAAATTTTCTTGTTTACTTCCAGCCCCTCTTTCTTTTTTTCTTTTTAAGATTTTTTTACTATGATTGGTTTTGTATTTTTAGCCAAAAGCAGTAGTAAGAAAACAAAGTATGTAAAAGCAGTCATGGCAACTATTACTTCCCTGGCTGTGTGGATGTAGTGCTGTGGGCAGAAAGACGCACTTCATGAAAGCTCTGCCCTGCGGAGTGCCCAGTGGGGAAGCTATTCAGATGAATGTGAGGAAGTGTGAGGTGTGATAACGACACATAAGTGTAACTCTTTGAGTTCCTAAATATATTTTATCTCTTTTTCCCCAGATTCATCCTTTCTGCACTTCCATGAATCCGATTGTGACATAGGAAGGTCTTCATCTTGTGAATCTGTGCTCTCTCTCAACACAGAAAAAATTCTGGTATGCTATCAAGAATATAATGTACAAAACAATTTTTAATAGATTGTTGAAGTCACAGATCACTTTAGCTGCATAACCAGTTAGAATGAAGTTCAGGCAAATAACTACAAATGGAATTTATTAATCAGTGGCATAGGTCCCTAAAAGGCTGCTCGTGAAAGTCGTACTGCATCGTGAGTCTGTAGGACTAATTGAAGCTGATGTTTCCACTGAAGGCAAACCTTCACCTGGATTAGTCTACTAATTAATATTTTATTTTTAAGGCTGCTGAAAAAGGGAAAGATGTTAATTTTTTTATCCAGATTAAACCTGAGGAGGCTTACCACAAAATGGGTGTGAAGGATTGATAACTTATGATTGCTACAGAAATAATGTGCACATATAATAGAGTTAGAGGCTTCAGACCATGTTTCACTAAATGTGAGAACAGCATCGTGTGTGGAGAATATTCTAACAAAAGGAGAGTGTCTCTTGGTAGAGGAATATTTTGGAATTTGATTTTTCTTGCAACACTACTGTTAACCTGTTGATCTTGAACAAATACAATCTTCAGTGTACATAAGAACACAGGTTTGATGTTACTTCTTTAGTCCAATAGAGTCACAGACATTGAAAATCCTCACATAATTTCCATGTGAATATACAAAAAAGCCTTGGCCAATTTGTAGATATTATTGGCTATGGGGAGCATGAAAACAGTGTTGAAATTTGAAGCAACTTCCACAGAGGTGGCATTTGGAAATAAAACCGCTCTGCTGCAAAATCTACCAAGTCAGTTATTTAACTTGAATATTGTCCTTCATCAGATATTGATCAGATTTCTGTATAAAGGTACCAGTGATTCTTCCTAAAACAGTGAAATGTAAATCAGTTTGTACGAAATTTCCTGTTTCAAAAAGGTTTTGAAGAGAGCAACAATTCAACCTATTGGGAGTTGGTGCTGTGAAAAGATTCTTCTAATTTCTGGAAGGCAGAATGACTCTCAACGTTTGCATGTAGAACCGTGGGATGAGTAACCTATAAGTATTCAGAATTTGTTGAAGTATGAATCCCCTTCCTGTGCCACTCCAAGAACCAAATACTGTTCTGTTATTCTATGATAACAAAACAGATGAGGGCAGGGAAAACTGTGATGCTACTCATGCTGAGTGTCACATGTAGCTC